TATTTTTTTTTTTTTTTTGCTCTGTTTTGTCTTCTTCTTTATTTGCTGTTTTTCCAGAGGCAAAAATTTCATTTTTGTTCTTCTTTCTTTGCTGTTTCCAAAGGCAGAATCAATTTTTTGTTTTGCTCTATTTTTTTTGTCTTTTTTTCTTTGCTGTTTTTTTCCAGAGGCAGTGTTTGCAAAGGCAGAATCATTTTTTTTTTTTTTGCTCTATTTTTTGTCTTCTTTATATAGTGGAATTAATTGCATATTGACTTGACATTGAGTTTTTAGTTATATGTATATAATATTTTATGTTTTTGTATAAATTGTCGCTTCACATCAAAAAGGCGAGTGCTTCGCTGCGTGCCTCTCGCCTCAGTGAAGCAGGCCCTCGTCGCTATTTGCCGCCGCACGCTATCCAAAACACTGTTAGGCCACATCCTTAAGTGCAACCAACTTAGTCGCAAAACGTGGATCTTAAAGCAAAAGAGCCACCAATCCAAAGAATTCTTAGCAGGAATGTGCCCAATAAAACTACTGCTGCGAGATAAAACCTATTAAGATGCACCATCTATTTAGTACACGACTTAGTAGATGGGTATAAAAGGTACGGAAGATAATGTCACAGGTCATTGCAGCATCAATCGCCTTTTTTGGGGGGATATGGTAAACCCTAACACACACACACCCCCCCATTCCATCCCCAAAGCCCCCAACCCAGAAGCCAAACAGTGGCATTTTCCCACTTTACTCCGTTGGTGACTCGAAGTTCACTTATCGTGGTTGGAGTTAGACTATCCATCACTGGTCTTTTGATCACTTCTTAGCTTCCTTATTGTTCACAACTTGTTCATGGTTTAAGCGGGACGTCGGTGGACCTGGTAATATAAAGTAAAGTACACCTAGTAGAATCCCTAAAGTTAAATTTTTCACCTCTGGCTATCCATATATACCTCATGCCAAAATTTAGTATCTCAATTTTCTATATTGAACTGACAATTTTCTAAATTGAACAGACAGTCAATTCCACTAGGCACACATTCTGCTCCATCATTTAATGAAATCGCAAAACTTAAATTTATCTCCACTATTCAACTATTTCAAGAAAATTACCACAAACCAAATAGGCTTCCAAACCTCTCAATTGCGCTAAACTGACAGCCACATTTCCAATTGTGCTTGCCCCATGTTGTCTGACACGTGACAGAAACAGTTTCTGATCAGGTGCTTATATTTTGCAGTTTGCACCCAGATAGGACCCTCAGATTACCTAAACAAAGAGCTGCATGGTTCATAAGGTATCTGCCATGGTGTCTATTTGAAACTCCTTTTTCTTGCAGGGATCCAGATATGAAAAACAGACCCAAGACCAAGAACTGCTGGTATTTTAGTCATTTTCCACTTAATCATAAAAAATAAGAACAAAATGCTAGTGTAAGATCAATGATAGCAAAAGCAAATGAAAATGGACTCTTGGGATACATTCTGAGTTTGCAATGAAATTCAATGCCACCGAGTGAGTGGCATATAAGCATTAAAAATAAAATGAGAGAATTGGTGATCCATGGAATAAGATGAAATTTATTCAGCAGCAGTGTAGAAGTTTAAGATTCACCTGCAATTTATGGTTATCACCAACAACAAGTGGTGTTTGATTTACTCCCAGGAAAAATACACATTCACGACAGTTGATGATACAGATACGTTTAGCCGCTGCTATCACATGCACACGTTCACAGTGCTCAACTCTTACAGCCTGTAAAAGAGGTTACAAAGCGAAATGCTCATATTTCATCTAGAGAATCGGACACATAATGGTGAAATATATGCAGTCATAAATCAATTAACTCATAAGACAAGCAGAAACTATGGTTTATGTGGTATTCGTTACACCTTGACCCAAAAATTAAACACCTCAGGTAACTGTTTAGTTTTTATATTGAGATTTCAAAATCACGGCTAATTTAAAAAATGCATAGACTTCTAAGTGGCAGCAGAAAGCAACAAAGTAGAAAACATCAGTTTGATAAAGCATGAATTTCTTTCTTTTTCATCTTATTGCATGTATGTCTAGCTGACTTTTCCGTGCCTAGCATGTACGTGAGAAGAGAACAAGAATGCAAATCCAAAATCTCTGGGTGCCAGGTAACAACAAACTCTCACAAAGTTTAAAATCCACAATTGCTTTTCACATTGATAATCTGAATACCAACTTAAGAAGGAACATGCAAATCTTCCTGAACTCTCAGCGAACCTACCTTGCCAACAGCTCCCAGGAAAATGGTTGCATCAGAGCATCCGTATACTGTAGCATATTTCAGAGGTGCTAAAATGTAAATGACTGATTCATGGCAATTGACAACCTGAGCAGAACACAGAAAAATGAAATGGAGAAAGTTTCAATATCAAGATCCATGTAAAAGTCCCTCTTTTTAAACTAATTTAGATGACTGCACAAAGCATAAAAGAGAAGTTGATAGAATGCTGCAGAATTATTTTCTATTGGATAACAAGTCCCCAACTTGTTTGGGACTGACAAATACTCCCTCCGTTTCAAAACGATTAGCAGTATTTCCGTATTAGTCCGTTTCAAAAAGATTGGCACATTTTTATATTTCCTTAATGGGAAGCTTTTATAGCCACACAAATGTTATGGCTTGTTTAAGACCACAAGTTTCAAAAGTATTATAGCCACACAAATATTATGGCATACTTAAGACCACAAGTTTCAAAAGTCTTCCTCTCTATTAAATTTTGTGTCAAGCCAAACTAAGACAAATAAATTAAAACGGAGGGAGTAATTGTTGTCGTCGTTGGATTACAAGCCCGAAGCATTACCTAAAGAACATATGACATTCATTTTAACCAAAGCAAAAAGAAAGGCTAAAGATTTTACCAATGCAAAGTCATTTCATGTTTTAATCCACAACTGTAACAGCCTCACAAGGTTTTGGGAGTTGAGACTAAGTTGGGATTTACCAAAGACATTAATGTCTGAGCCGGGTTCGAGCCGTGGAAATAGCCTCTTACATAAATGCAGGGTAAGGCTGCGTATGATATACCTTTGTGGTCCGGCCCTTCCCCCGACCCCGCGCATAGCGGGAGCTTAATACCCCGCTTAATGCACTTGGCTGCCCATTTATTAATGTCTGAGCGCATAGCTAAAGAAACACATACAAGCTGATCAACCATTTCCATCCTAAAGACATAGCTTTCTCTTTTTATGAGATTGGCTTTCAATTGACCAATCAATCATGACTCAAATTCCAAACTAATTGTGGTTGGCTATATGAGCCCTCTACACCTATTTTTCCTATTCGAGTCCATTTTATTCTTAAGGGATTCTCTAAACTAGAGGTTTTCTAAACCACATTTATATACTGAGTTTTAAGAAAACTAAAAAGCTCTTGGCAAGCATTAGACCTAATACAAGTGAAACGACAACTGATATTTAATGCAAGTTGGTATTGCCTATATGGATCCTTTGCTTCCACAATAGGTTCTTAACTAAGTCACATTAATCCCAAGAGATAGCAGGTCTTTCATAACAATTTTGGTCGAGGTAATTTTAGATCTACCTCATCTCTTTTTAGCACCTTCACTCATAATTGTGTCGTGCACAAATGAAACTAATGCATATAGATGTCTGTAAGCCTTGGCTAAACTATCTCACGTGACCTTTCTTTTGCCATCTATCTCTACTATTTGCATCCTCTATCGGATGCAGTCATTTTTATCTTGTTGAATCATGTACAACTTGTCTACGATGATTATCTTGTTGATATGTTGCGCCTCAAAAGCCCAAGTTTCCCAAAAGCCCAACATTCACCATCACTATATTATTGGTCTCAAAATTGCTCAATGAAACTTACTTTGTTACTTTGGTAGGCATCTTTCAATTGGGTATTACTTCCATGAGTTCCATCACCCTCATCTATTTCAACTATTGTGTTCTGATCTAAAATAAAACATCTTTCTCTGTCATGCCTTTTTCCCTTGAATGTCTGGCCTAAATATGTGAATTGTCTGCATTTAAGCATTACAATCGCATCAAATATCACTTTACCTTCACGTGAACAAAAAACTTGTGGTACATATATTCTATCTTACTACTACATATCGTAAAACCCCAATTCTTAAGAGTGCTTCTATATAATACCATTTTTGATTGATTACCTCTCTTGTTTCCTAAATTGACAGAACATTATACACAAAAGAAAAACATGCACCAAGGAACCTTATCTTATATACCCCTGTGGTCCGGCCCTTCCCCGAACCCCGCGCATAGCGAGAGCTTTGTGCACCGGGCTGCCCAAAGAACCTTATCTATATACCTACAGTTAAATCATTTAAAACCAGGGCAAGTTAGTTCACTCATCCACAACAAAGGTAAACAAATAGGGGCACAAGCCAGATTCCTGGTATAAATCCACGAAAGTTCCTCTATATCTCTCTTCGCCATTTTCACAATAGTGATCGCTCCATCATACATATCCTTCATGACATATATATATTTGATATGAGTTCCTTTCATCTCAAGCATCAACCTAAGGGCTTTTCTTTGCTTTATATTATAAGCTTTATTTAGCGCAACTACTATCATTGAGATCCTCTTCCTCTTCTTCTTTCATCAACTTTCCAATCAGAAATACAACCTATGTTGTAGATCTACGATGCATAAATCCAAATTGATCCTGCACTAATCTCTAAATTTATGATCATCAATCTTCAATAACATTCCATCATGATTCATAAGTTAATATCACAGATAGTTTTCACAATTTTGAATGTCTCACAATTCTAAATGAAGGATACCCCACTCGTTTGGCTACTTTCTACTTCTTAATATAACATTAAAATAGTTGGGTTAATCTTAACTAAACATAGTACTCCAATCTCTCCAAGCACTTCAAAATTATCAGGATCACAGGTTTTTAAACCATTTTCAGGTCATCCTTTACTTCATTAGACCTCTACAAATGCAACTAAGGTTTTGTCACAAATGTACGAAGATCTATAAAGCTATCTTTGTGATTTCTGTTGAGCAATTGATTGCTATAGCATCTTCATTTTCTCTTTAATCTCACTGTCTCTTGTCAAACCTTGTCAAGAGTCATCTTTAACATACTGAACTTGGTCCAAGTCTTTATCCTCTCCCCTGTTGTATCAACTTATGCATTTCTTTCTCCCTTTTCGCATCAACTTTTGTATAAACCATCTAAAGCTGCACCTCTCCCTTTGCTAATCACATACCTCAATTTCTCTCTTAACTCGATAACTCTTTAAAGACTTATTCATCTTCTGTTGTAGGTAACTTCCTGTATAACTCTTTTTTTTCTTTAACAACTATTTGACTACTTCATTCCACCACCACAATTCTNTGGGGTAGAGAGGCTGTTTCCAAATAGACCCCCGACATCCTTCCCTCCAAGAACTCCCACCTTTGCTCTTGGGGTGACTCGAACTCACAACCTCTTGGTTGGAAGTGGAGGGTGCTTTCCTTCTATTGTATATTAACAGTAATTTCTAAGCTTCATGCTCCCTCTTTTCTAACTTGTCCTCACATGTTATTTGCTTTGTCGCTTTTAGTGTCAATATCGAATTCTCAGTTTTATGCAATTTTTCTACTTTCCCAATCCACTCTTTTGCTTCACATCCAAGACCACTCCTTAGTATCATCTTGTACTCCGTGCACGTCGCTCTGTCGCATCTATTGGCTTTCACTTAATACAGTAGTAAAGCCCTATACCAACAACTTATCCAATACTTCTTCCTATCATTTTCCACATACTCCGAGAGTGCATTTCTCTTCTAGCCTCGAACGATCTATCGCCAAACTGACAAGGGACTTGTATCTTGACACACTAGCCCCTAGGACACATGAGTAATGATGCTTTAAAATTGTCAAAAAATAAATCAAACAACAGCCAGAATTCCAGATATATGTTGAAGCTATTGCTGATCAGTTAGACATGAAACCAAGAAATCAAAAGAAGTAACATACCAAAGAGGCCCCAAAATAAGTTGCCAACAGAAAACTACTTCAATGAATCAACTATTAAGCAAGTAGATTCTCAGATACATGATGCCATGTAAGAGGAAATCTCCTTGCTGTTAACTTAGAATATTTAGCCCTTTTTTGGGACAAGTGCACAATTAATATTAATAGCTTCAGATATTAAATTAATATAACAAACATATAAAGACAGTTCTTCTACATTAGAATCTTTATAGATAATTCTAGTTTTCCAACTTCACAATAGCATTGATCATGAGAACAAACATCAGAACATAAAGACAAGTGCGCACATACACAGATTACAGCACATTACTGGAAATTAAAATTCTTCAATAAAAATGGTGTTCTGGAGCACCCGTGCAGCATCTTATTATCTGTGTGATGTGTCTGAAGTTTGTGTTCTTTAAGTTCCAGCCCAATTGTCTGATGTTCTTTTAAAAATACGGAATGTTCGCCAAACGGCACTGCGACTAAGCTCCACATTACTGTGTTTCCAATTCAAGAGGGAGGAGTATACTGGAAGGGTATCCATTGATGACAGGTAATGCACAGAGGAACAGGACTTAGATAAGGGAATTGTGGACCTTCTATCAGAAACTCTACCAGGAAGAGAGCAATTGGATATCAACACAAGAACGGGTTGAATTCAGTATTATTATGAGAATAGTGCAAAAGCTGATTGCAATAGAATCTTTACTATTCTGATTGCAATAAAACCAACTCCAGATATTTTATGCCTGACATTTGTAGAAGAAAGTAGCTGACGATATTATATCTTGATATAACTTCACAAATGGGTAAGATAGAATCCTGTCTCTTCTAGAACAGAAAGCACCAACAAATTATAAATATTTCAGGCACACTTGTTATGATTCAATTCAAAACCAAGAATATGCATTAAAATGGTGGCAAAAGAAGCACATTCAGAATAAGCTTCCTTGAATCAGACCACTGAGGTCATTTTATTTTAAAAATTCTAGAGACCAGATCGAAATATTAAAGACTAAGGAAAGATTCCTGTGCCACCGACAAAATACTTGTCTCACAGAAGCAGTATCAATTTATATTGAATCATGCAACTTATATCTTTGACAACAACAATAAAATAAATTCAGTTTTTTTTATTGGTAAAATTACGTTTTAGCATAAGACAATAAGATAAAGTCAGTTAAAATTTACCTTCACAGAAGAGCCTTTAAGATCATTTGGCTGACGTACATATGATGTTTTCGAGATTCCCTCAATGAAATTTGGGCCTCTAGGACTCAATGAACTCTTTACTGAACTTGCAGAGACATCAGCCATTGGCACATCCTGGTCGATGGCACTGGTTGGTCCATTTTCCTTCGCAGAAGCCCTCTCAGTAATGCGTTCCAGAGCAGACGCTATATTTTGTAGCAGCCAATCATGTACTTGAGCTGCAGGAACAGGAACAGCTGGCATGTCTGGATCTGAATTGGCAAAAAATGGGGCATTCTGACTCAATGGGATTCTCTCAGATCCCTTTTCACCAAAATAGAATAGAAAACCAAGATGCTCAAATTTCTCTGCGGACAGAACCTAAAGGCATTACACTAATTGGTCAGCTTTACATTATATCTTTACCCAGTACTCTATGACACAAAGGTAAGAGAAATGGCTGCAAACAGGCATAAATTTAGGCAACAGGTTCAGCATTAGATGTTTCAGTTTCTAAACTTCCTGGCATCAGTTGTCACTGAGAGTTTCACAAAATGCAATTACTAGGGTAATTTTGTTTTTTCTTAGATCCTACAATATCGTGGAAATCAGCATAACAGAGGGCATCATAACTACCCCAAGTTCATTAGAGAGGGCTCCAATCGTCACCCAGGAAGAATTCTATCACGAGGCATAAAAGTTGGAAAAGAAGGCCTGACAGGTAACATCATGTGCACGCAGTTCCAGAGTGACAAAAAGTGCATTTGGCTGGCATATCTGCAGTTAGAATCCATTTAATGGCCATTATCCTTGCACAACCTGTGAAATTTGATGCACGGGAATTAAGTGCATTGGAGATTGCCAAATTCTAGAGAAAATACTCCACTATGTACCTACGGGACTCCCCCATTCATATACCTTCTTCCACATAGTTAAAGGACAGACTCACCTTTTACTCATCAAAGAAAAATGACAGACTCTGCCAACAGCCCCGAATAAATAACATTTGTTACTTGAAGTATCATTTCCATCAAATGACAATTTGGAGATTGGATATTCACACATGCTCTCTCAGGGTTCTACATCAGAGGCTACACAAATTTCAACTGCCGTGAGCAAGTAACTATAATCTCCCTTCTTTTTTTTTCTTCGACAAGTCGATCAATCGTCTTCACTTATCTCAATTAGCTTGTTTGATCGATAACCTAAGATCAGGCGTGCCTCCTTTGTGATATAGAGAATGTTTTAAAGTTCATGTAGCACTGCTGCTTATGCCTAGATTGTTCTTGAGACTAGCATCACTAAAATGTAAAATGTCATGTTCATGTTCCCAGAGAAGACGTGAGCTTGAACATAGACGGAAAGAAAAAAATGTCGGGGATGATGATTATGAATTTCAGTGATATCTACAACTATCCAACAAGGCTAGGGTTCAGTATCATCAGCTATGCCGAGGCTAACTGTGCTAATCTCATGTCAAATCCTCAAATCACATAAGTATCAGGCCCGAATATATAAAGAGCAGTAGGATATCGAATACATGGTGATGGACCTCTACAGTTCGATGATTCCCATGAATGATATGTTCTAGGCTATTGGTAAACTTTTTGATTGGTTAATAAGTTTAGTCACCTTGATGGGGAAATCATACATACGAGGCAGTGTACCCACGTATATAAACTTACAAGGACATAATTTTCTACAAAAAGCGTCCAGTCACCATTACTAGCCATGATATTGGTAAATAGAATTTGGAAACAGAAAATATTATTTGAAAACAAAACCCACTTTGATACTGGTAAATATGATTTGAAAATGGAAACATATTCACAATAAAAACTATCTTACTTTCTAGAAACAATCTCATGCATCCCTCCCACGTATATCCATTTGTCTCCACTGTAAACTAACCTTGTAAATTGTACTTGACGCCAAAAGAAAAACTTCTAAACAATGAAACTCTATGGTCAACCTGAGCCTAGACATAGATAATACAGCATATAAACCTAGGCTAGAGAATGTAGAAATAATTTTAGAACTACCAGAAGGGGCTACATGATATTAAATTCTATATACAGGATAAAGAGTGTACTAACTATTTATTGAAGTATTAAACAAAGAACTACTCATATGATTCGATTTTATGTGACACTCTTTCCTCTTTAGCATGTTCCAAAAAGATTGACACCTTTTTCTAATGCACCTATTTACTTCTGGTATTCTCATTTTGCCTTAATAACATACTCTTATTTAATAAAATACTCTTATAGGAATGACATAGCATCTTTCGGATCACAAGAAGGTAAGGGTACTTGGGCATCTTATACACATTTAGCTTATCTGTCAAAAGTTTCCTTCTTTTCTTAAATTCTTTATCCAGTCAAATTGTCATATAACATTCACATAAGCAAACTAGAAATAATCATACTATTTAGTGAACAAGTTGAAGTGGGCGTTGAACTTGTCCTGGCCCACACTTGCTTGAACTTTATTCTCACGCTTGGCTAAGTTCACACCCACCTAAGGCTGAATCCTGATCTTAATGGACAGACTTGTCGAGCTTCGAGCCCAACCAACCCAATTGACAATCCAAACCTTCCAAGATACCTCATAGGAAAGAAAAGTGAACTTTACATGATACTAAAAAGTTAATATATCCGTTGACTCTGTCACATGAACGCAAATATAATTAAATCTTTTTCATCAATTGGATGCATAGTTAATGTCTTACTGCATAAGCATGACTTATAAAGACCAGGACAAAAGTAATTCAACAAATCAAACCTGAACCTGCTAACCAAGTGGTCTAAGAGAGATAAAGCAAAAACTTTAACCTGTTAACCAAGTGGGTCTAAGAAAGGCAAAGCAAAAACTTGAAAGGAAGCTGTTCTACATCGATACAAGTGGCAAGCATGTAGATGCAGGGGGAAAACAACGCCCGAAGTTATACATCATTCACCAGTGGGTTTTTCCATTAGTATTGCTAGGCATACAAACCTCCCCACCTGCACCTCAATTTCTTTCTAGTTGTAGCAGTTAACCACAAAAATTTATGTTCCTCCCAATTCTTTTGTATTCGCATTGTTTCTCTCTCAAACATTCACACCCCAGCTTGCAAGACAACTTAAAACCGCATAGAATCCAAGGCCATACTGCATCAACTCCCTTAGAATTCTTTATTTTTATTTTTAGCATTGCATGTTGAAATCATAGGATATCAGCTAAACCATGTATGTTGAATAACAAGAGGGGTGTTACAAACATGAAGTATGAAATTCACAAACCAGTGTTTCGTCGCCCTCTCCTTCTACTGCCTCTGACAAAAGAGACAGAATGTTTCCCAGGTGCTTTTGTAAATAGGATAACTGATGAGCCTCTTCATCAGATTGTGATGGCATATTTCGTCGACTATTGCTACGTACAAGCTGCAATGACAGAAACAAATCTTCTGGTTATTATTTCACAGCAGTGCAACGGGTGTTTCATGGTACATGCCACACTATTTAAATGAATAGCACAAATAAAGAAAACAGACTCGTTAAGATCAAGAAGGGAAGTCATTTAACATAGTCAGAAAAACGAGCCCCGGGAAGCATCCTTCATCAAGATCCAAGAATCAAAAGAAAGCAAACTTGCACAACCATAGGCCTATCTACAATCTTATGAAATTCCATGCATAGGACCAGGGAGGATCCACGGTGTTAGCTATGGGTTCGGTCAAACCCAAAAGCTTTGGCCTAGATCCGAAATATGTATTAAGAAATCCACTAAATATGTATAAATATTTAATTATGAACCCTGCTATTAGCACTGAGGTCTATCCTAGAATCCCGAACCCATATTCAAATCGTAGATCTTCCTCTGCATAGGGCCACAACATCCACCACTACTCTTTCCGCCTACAACTTAGTATAAACTAGTATTTTAAACCTTTTCTACTAGATATATATTATTCTACTTAGTATAAAGTTTTGACACCAAGTACAACACTTTATTAGTTCTCAAGTTCTTTTCAACATGGTAAACATTTCATCTTACAACTTCTTCATATTATCTAAATCCTATTAAAAAACCATAACTACAACTAAAAGCTTCCAACAAATAACCAAAAATGCAAAGAAAGCTCAGTAAACAAATCAAATAACTGATAATTAGAAGAGCTTTAAGTTATATATACCACAACACCATCACCAGACAAATCATCAATGATAATTAGAAGAGTTTTAAGTTATATACACCACAATGTAAGGAATTTTTACACCATCAAGCCACCTTTTACCTACTTTGCCAGGTAATTAATCTTGTTTTCAGGAGTATAAATCCCACATATAAGAAGGCTTACCCTTTGGTGACATGATAAAGTAAACAATTCTTATGTTTATATAACTTAAACTCTAATTTAGGAACTACACATTCACAAAAATGCCGAGTTTGGAACAATGTCCTCACCTGCAACGGCGACAATGCGGACAAGAACCCGTCGAAAGCCGAAGTAGAAGGCCAAACATCAGCTACGGCAGCTGAATCCTTATGTCCTTTAGGAAGCAACCTTTTGTAACTCTGAATGTACAAAAATACAACCAAATCAAACACATTAACACCGATAGAGCCGACCTCGGAGGGCTTAGCGGTAACGAGAGGGTCCGAATCGGAGTGAAGAACACAAGCAATGGTTTCGAGGACGAGGCGAGCGTGTTCGAGCGAGATCTGAAGGGACTCAGCAATGGATTCCGTGTTAACGCGTTGGTTCGTAGTACTTGACTCGGAGGACGAAAGGGAGGATAATAGCTTGTCCTTAATTGGACCTAGGGTTTGTGTTCCGTCGGTGAAGATTAGCTTCGGGATCGGTAATAGGCCGTGTTCAAATGGCTCCCTGCGTGGGTGAATGTATATTGGGGCGGTGGATGGTGTCGTCGCCGGTGACGGTGTTTCATCGGATTCCGCCATTAGTGTTATTAGTGGAGAGGAAAAAGGTAAGAAAAAGCTGTGGAAGAGTGGAAATGGCAGTGATCAGTGCCAATTTATTTTATTCAAATATTCAATCAATCTCTTACTCGAAAAAACAAAAGGAAGAAAATGGCAGTGATCAAAATCTCAGCGAGAGAAAAGCAAGGCTGAAAGCCCGCATAGTGTTGATTTGTAAAAACTTAATCAATAGCAAAACAAAAATGCATATTGTTAGAAGAAGAAAATGCAAAATATATATTTTTGTTATAAAATAAAGGCTATAAAGTAAATACAAGTATAGATAGAAACTGATATATTATTCTGATTCAAATTGATGTACATAATGAACTGAAATCTTTTCTATTTATAGAAGAAAGGAAGTTGTTGTGTAAGCTGCTACGCAAGCTGTTGTGTAAGCTGCTACTACAAGCTACTGTGTAAGTTGCTACGCAAGTTGTTGTGTAAGCTGCTACTGCAAGTTGCTGTATAAGCTGCTACTGCAAGTTGCTGTATAAGCTGCTACTATACCAAATATGGATAATCTAATGTTTATCCATAACCGGGTACCGAAGTGATAAGCTTCTTCAGGAAGCTTATTTCCAATAGAGTACTAAATAGATAAACATATTTACGGTGGAGTCCCATATGGATAAGCTTCTTCAGGAAGATTATTTACAACGGAGTACTAAATGTACATCCATAATATAATATATTTATAACACTCCCCCTTGGATGTTCATTAAAAGATAATGTGTCTCATTAAAACCTTACTAGGAAAAGCCACGTGGGAAAAAATCCTAGTGAAGGAAAAAGAGTACACATATTTAGTAATACGCATTGTTAGGTGTCTCATTAAAAACTTTATAAGGGAAAAAGAGTGCATTGCGTATTTTACTCCCCCTGATGAAAACTTTGTTTCAAATATTTGAGTCTCCGCATTCCAATCTTGTATATCATCTTCTCAAAAGTTGAAGTTGACAAA